TTGCTTTTCCACCTGCGCACACCTTTAACTACCGTAGTACCGTAACACGTCAGTTCCTTTTCTCTTTCCACAATTGTTGCATAGTATCCCATGTCATGTCAAATAATGAAACGAAAGATAAGATCCCAATCCATTTATCAAAGAAACTAAATCAAAACGTAAAAAAAGTCAATTCCATCAGAAGTTGGCAGCGACAGGACTACCATCAACTGACCGTGAGGGTCCAAAAAAACAGATCCTTGGATTCAACTTTCCCTTCTGTTTTTAATGAAGTAGATTATGAATATGTGAAGAGAGAGGAGCGTACATCGCGCTGCAGACCTGTCATATCACGAGCCCAACTGTTAATTTTAATTGTGGGCTTTAGAAGCCACGCCAAGTCGACGTCAAGAGCCAACATTTAAAGTGCACATTAAATTTGCATTTCATTCGTTACTTCGTGAAACGACCTGCCGAATTCTATTCAATCAATTTGGTGTAGATGTGGTAGATTTTTTCAAGTCACTTCAATGTAATTAAATCTTTATGTTCTAGTTCGGAAACTAACATGGAAAACATTTTTCTATCTGTCTATCTGTCGACTCCCAGGCTATGAATTGCTTAATCCTTCTCACTTCTTGTGTACCGCGTTTAAGGCCATTTAATGGCTGCTATGTCATACAGTTTATTAAAATTGGCTAAGTATCAATCCGTGTTTAAAATCTTCTCCACCCTTTCCACCCATCTCGTCCGAGCTGGCTATCTTACTCTGAGTCCTTCTACTCAGACTTTTTGGGGCAACAGCCAAACGTCATGCAATTTTTAAGAGATTTATAAAACTTGGAGCGTTCCATAACCGTTTGCGAACGTAACGAAAAACAGCGCAGTCAGTTTTTGAAATGGAATTGAAATGAGAGTTTATTTATCTTAAATTTTGTCCTATCGCACGAGGAGTTACGAGCATATGTTGCGCAAGTTTAAAGTTTAGGTGCTTCGTAAGACAACGCAAACTTTTTACTTAAGAGTGATGGAAGAGTTTGTAAAAAGGGCGTAGCTGGTTAGTATAACGAGAATTTCTAATAAATTATAACCCCCTAAGCACATTCTGCGGTAGTAAGCTTCTTCGCTACAGCCAAATTAATCTCTCTCACCGGGCGGAGGATTTTTTCAGGCGATTATGGAGAGTTTGCACCTTAGAATTGAAGTTCGGCATTTCCACAGTCCGTTTCAGTATTCTCCATTCTTAGCCTTTTCTCGTTCCCTCTTAGTTTGCAGTTGTCTGTTTTGTCTTCCTTCGCCTCGCAGAACCAATATCAAGTGGGATCTTTTAAATTGAGAGAAGTTTTTCATGTCATAAACATGACTTAATAGAACTGATATTGCAACGTCACCCCCATCCAAAGGACAGAAAAAGAAACTAAAACAAAATAAATTACCGAATAAGCCATTAGCTTAAAAGGGTCACGGATGAGCTGCGATTGACCTCTCTTATCTTTTCGGTAATGGCAATAAGTTTTTATTTCATTCACAGCTGTGGCATATGCCTTTTAAAAGGCCTGGTATTTTTTAAATACCAAAACCAGAATTATCAGAAAAGTGGTGGAACAAGGGCCTAACCAAGGTATGTTCACCGTCGTTTGAACAAAAGACGATGAGATTTCAGATACATAGCTTTTCACCACAATTAATTGACAGAAATACAATCTGTTAATTGTCAAGGAAAAGACAACAGCAATCTTCACTAAGTATCAGTATACAGTTGAGAGATGGAGGAAAAATACACCAAATTACTCTAAAGTACAGATACAACATCACCCTTGTTGAAAGGTCCAAGTAGATTAAGACTTGAAAACTGGAGAAATAAATACTAAAAAGATGGATATACTATCGAGGGATTTCGAGTAAGACTCTGGCTAAACATTTCCAAATGACATGTACTCTTATCAGAGACATAAACCTGACAGTTTTATGAAAATTTATACATCACCAAAATTGGGCGGATCTGTTATAGTTTTACTATGCAAACACTCGCAGCATCAATCGCCAAAATCTGCGAAACGTTTGCTCTAATAATAAATTATTTTTCTTTCGGTTAAAATCAGTGCTTTTGATGGTCACAAAGACACAAACGGTTTCAAAGGCATCAACGGTACTGACTGAGTGGATAATGGCAAACTTAAAACAAAAAACTGTCTCAATCTTGGAAGCAGTCTGTTTAAAGATCTATTTTAGTTCTATGACAAAATTGTGAAACAAAGTGATTACATTTCAGAAGCGAAAGAGGGCAAACAAAGCTAGTGTGTAATTAATTCTTACATCTAATCGGAGCACATTTTAAGCATCCAGAAAATCTTTTGTGAAGTGGAAATAAGTTCAGCTCCTAGTTTCAAGATTGGGTGGACGGTAGGATCTATTTTCTGATGTTCTCAGTTATCTCTCAAGTCAATCTTCACGCTTGCTTCTCTCGTGAGGTCCCAAATGGAATTCGAACCTTGAAATAAACACGCCACTACAAAAATAAACACATTTCGCAAGAGCAAAGCGTTAATAATGGTACATGTAAATTAAAACTGACATCTCTTAAGACCTTTCGCTCAAGCGTAATCATAAGGAATGCATGTACGGTAATCACTCTGTCAATTTGCTGGATTCAGTAACAAAAGTCCAAAAGTGGGTGGACCATCTAGAACAAAACCAAAATCTTTTATTCCCATGACACACTCTTAACTCGATCCTTACAAGGAAGAAACTTAAGTCAATAGGCCAAAGGATGCTGTTTTGTGTTTTCTAATTAAATTTTGGTGCACTCAATATTCGATAACACAAAGGGACCCATTTGAGCCGATTTCCTAAGATGCCATGACAACGAAATGTTATTCTAATAAAACCCTTGAAGCCTGCTCGCGAAATATCAAATCGACGCCAAACAAACAACACATTGTGTTCATTCTTGTGGGTTGACTTCTGCTTTATTACCTTCATTAGAACGGAAATTAGTTTGGAAAATGCTTTTTGGGAGCAATTCACAAAGGATATATAATCGCTTTTCACTGTTGACGGACTCGAGAATTCTAAAGTATTTTTCATTACAGAAATGACATATTTGTGAGGATGGTCCAAAATAATATGTTCCCAAGGATTTTAAGATGTACTCAGCATCAATTGGCTCAGCTTTGAGATCAATGTCGAACGAAATGAATTCAAATAAATGGGGGGTCTTGGTTTTCAAGTTGTTGAGACCAATTTGTTTATACAACTCCTTATAATACTGGGACAATTGCCTTTTTGAAAATTCGCAGCAAATTATTTCTTAGTTATTGAAATCATGATTCAGTACATGGAGGGGTTTTTTAGCGCGCGACGCAGGCAAAAAAAAGGGAGAAAGTGAACTTTCTGTCGCTAAAGATAATTGAATAATAGCAGGGTATAGTTTTCATTTCATCGAACATAGTTTCTAACACAATAATAATCTTCTGTAGGAAACTGTATCTTAGTGATCAGCGTCACAGCCGTACTTATTCGTTTATCAATGTTCAGAGAGTCAGCAAGTCGAGCAAGTTCTGCCATGTTGAAATTATTCACAGTGAGTGACTATTCACTCGAAGTCGCCACGAAATCGTATTTTAAAAGAAAGTCTAAAAGAAAGGAATTGAATATCTCTCAGTGTGGTATGTCTAAATCCAATTTTTCTTTCACTCGCCGGGCGGCATTCTGCTGTAACAAGATTTGAATAAAGACCTCTTAAAAACATTTAAGCAGAAACAACAGGATGACGCATATAGGAACTTTATTCCTTAAGTTTTACACAAGCAGCTGAGGATTAACACGATCAGACAAATATCGAGATCGACACCAAATTCAGAAAGTTCCGACCCGATAATCCTATCAAACAGCGTCATTGCTTATTCTGTACAAAATGAATTTATGAAGCAATTTCAGTGTTGTTTTCTTTTTGGTCTAAATCCCCGCGAGCGGATAATGCTATTAAATCTTATAATACCAATGTATTAACAGAACTTTTGCATCCACCAAAAAATAGAACTTCCGTCTACAAGAGGATTGATTACATAGCTACGTGACCTTTTTTGGCTGTAACTATCACTAGTAATCGACTCAAGATAAAGCAAAATGCAACAATAA